AAATGTCAAATAAAATATGTAGTAGTACGAAAACTTTATTATATACAACTGTCATTTTTTTTACTATTTCCCCATGCAAAGTAGCAAACAGATAATGTTACTTTTAAAATGGGTCCCAAATCACATATTACACAGTGTTAATGCATAGAAAAAAATGTAATAAAAATTGAAGACTACAGTTCAACAACTGCAGTAGAATATAATGTTGAAAACTAGTTTACTCCTTCATGAAATCACAATATCTGTAGGGATTTTATTACACAGAAATCACTCATTTTCCATAAAATAAAGTTGTTCGTAAACTGAATAATTCATAAACTAGAATCAGGTGTCAGGTTCCACTAGACATCCTCTGATGTCTAGTGGAACCACATGCACTTTGCAAAAATCTAGCTTCATGGTGTCAATAAGTTGCTGACCCCAACACACTTATTTATTTCGTCACCGTAAACATGTGCATTCATTTCGACAACTGGCATTGGTGGGATTTCGTTGGCACTGAATTAATGGTGATTATTATAGCGGAAATGGAAAAAAAGAATGAACTGTCAATAAATAAATACAATGTGCGAGTTGATTGGCTGAGCGGTTAAGTCAAGGGCACCGTAACCTTCAGCTATAATACCGGCGCTGGTTCGAACAGCTCACACGCCAATGGTTCCGGTGGTGGAACAAGTCTTCTCGGATAAGGATTTTAAACCGTAGGCCTAGTGCACGCATTTGTGCACTTTCGATATGAACCAGGCTAGTGACTGACACTGCTTTCCAAGGAAGCCCTGGTACATACATGTAAATGTAGCAAAAATATATAGAAAAAATGCTCGGCCCCAAGCGGGGGTGGTGGTATTTATATTATTATCTGCCTTTATAAGTATTATAAAGGTAGATCAGGCCCATTGGGCTAAGCCGAGCTAAGTAGGCCAAGCTGTCCAAACACTGTTATAAAATCTGGTTTGTCCATTAATCATTTAATTGAAGCACATGAGGAGGAATGAACTCAGTGAGGTGGTTGTACTTTCATTATTATCATACATTTATTTCACATCATTTCTTACATATCGATTAGGCTTTCACCGTAAATGTGTTAATATAATTATTAAACATTATCTACATTCTCTACATCTGACAAATCGATGACAAACTGACTTCCAATCAACAAAAAGAGGATTTTATCTGAATGTGAATCATATAGTAGGCCTATATTTAGTGTAGTCTGCCCTCCAATTCGAGACCCCTCAGGTATTGCTAAACCTCACAAACCTCCAAAAAAACACAGTAAACCCCATCCAAACCCTGTGATAATGATTAAATCACATAGTATAGGACTCAATTTGGTATCTCAAAAAAAAAAAAAAATCTTAATTTTACTAAGGACTCACTTGGTATATCAGTAAAAAAAAGATTTAATGTTCCATTCATAACAACCTACTTTTTGGGTAAAAATGCCATTTTTTGTATAAAACATTACTAAACCCCACAAACCTTCAAAAACACAGTCCAAACCCTATGATAATGATTGAATCACATAAGTATAGGACTCAATGTGGTATTTCAATAAAAAAAAATCATAATTTTATGTTCGTCACAACCTATTTTTGGGGTAAAAAGGCCATTTTTTGTATAAAAAAATTGCTAAACCCCGCAAACCCCCCAAAGCACTGTGCAAACCCCATCCAAACCCTGTGATAGTGATTGAATCATGTAGTATACTGTAGGACTCACTTGGTATCCGAGTAAAAAAAAAATTATAATGTTCCGTTCGTAACAACCTACCTTTTGGGTAAAAATGTCATTTTTTGTATAAAAACATTGCTAAAACCCCCTAACTTATTTAGAAACTGGGAAAAAAAAGTTTTGCAAAAAAACTGGGTTCAAGGGCTCTAGAAAGACTTTGCAAACAAGACTCACAGTTCAAGTTTTATGTGACACATATTCGTGTCGCATAAAACTTGATAGTTTGGACTAAGTGAATAAAATTTCATTTCTTTTCATTTATTTATTTATTCAACCACAATTCACATAATAAAAAATCATTAGGGGCAGCTTAAAAGAAAATAGATTTTCTATAACCCATGAAGGGTCAACTGTGGTGGAGCAAAGAAAGCTGGTAGCTCCACCCAATTTGGCAAAATTGATGGTCGTCGCAGTGCAGTATTTTGACGAACAAGCCAGTACAGACCTCATCATGTGTGTTGTGAAATCTCATGCAAAGCCACATCTATCAAAACAGTTCTGCATTAAATTTATATAGTATACAAATATGGACTGCTACTAGCAGTCCATATTTGCGCAGTGCTAATGAGGGGAAGGGTGAAATTTATTGCCCTGAGGTGATGCATGCCAAGGGAAGATAGTAGCTGGCTACGGTCTCCACAACACTGAGGGGCTACAGATTCCACCATTCCTAGATTCTAGAATCAGTCAATATTTGTTTTATATACCTCATACATAGTTACAAACAGTAATGAAAAGAGTGAATGAAAATATAGGCTGCTAGGTAATCGAACAAGTAGCATTAGGATCCATATCAAGAGGTATGTTGGGAAAGGGCCCCAAAAACAATTGCTTCCTGATGTGCACCTTAATAAAAAAATAAAAAATCCTGTACACTTTTTTTTTTTATAACAACCAGTAAAATCTTGCCCAGGCTCAGTGTTTTTATTTTTTGGCCAATTTCAGGTTCAAAATGTTCTTATTTTGTTGTTATTTTACACAGTTTTCAAACACAGAAAATTATTATTGTACAGCAGTATACACTGTACTGGAATATAGGTAAAAGTGGCCCCGGAAAAAACGGTCCCTGAAAAAATGGCCACAGAAAAAAGCCCTGTGGTAAAAATGGCCACAAATGAAAAATATTATTCCACTCTGATAAAACCTCTTAAAGATACCTGATTTTGTTGTGTTATCTTTTGTAAATGTAATCGATGAGAAAAGTGGAAAGAAAACATAAAACACTACTTCTACCAGTGCAGACAAATTAAATATTTATACCTTATTCTTCTTGTCAAGGACATTTTGCTGTTGAACTTACAAGGGTATTAATGGCATCAATTCATAGTGCTGGTAGCAGCCATGAACTACTTGCGCAGCTGCTGGCTTAAGATCTACAATTACTACTCCTATAAATTACTATCTACTCCTATAAAGCAAGACTACTCTTTTCTGGCCGGGGGGAGGGGGGGTCTGAACCAATGGTTGCCTACAGCATCAGTCCCCAGAATAAAACCCCACCACATTAAAACCCCACCACATAAATCAAACCCACCTACTGTACACCATTCAAACCACACCATATTCAAAATTCAAAACCACAATTTGAACCCCCCCACACGACAACTTCCTGGCAATGCTTCCTGGCAAAACCATGATTTAATTAAGATGATGAATGAGAACTTATAAGATAATTGATTTGAGGTAATTTATTGTCCAAGATTAAAAATTTTCTTGCAATATATCAAACTATTGTTATAAATATTGTTAAGCTTTTTTAATTAGTTGAATTGCACTTCCTCATTATTGATTATGATCTGTGTAATTTTTTTTTTGGCTATTCATCATTTTATCAATATTTCATTTTATTAATACTAATATACAGTATTGGCATCGCACAAAGTCTAAGTAAATTGCATATGCTACCATCAGACTCCATTCCTTATATTGTAGTGTTGTATTATTAATCATAAAAATTTAAGTGCGCAGAATTGAAACCACACCACATTCAAAATTCAAAACCACAATTTGAACCCCCCCCCCCACACGACAACTTCCTGGCAATGCTACTGCGGCATCGGGGGGAGGGGTTCCCGTACCTCTTCGGAGTAGCCACTGCATTATACTGGCTATATTTTAGTTTAATGACACAAAACATCAGCGATAAATGGCATGTTTTAGAAGTCGATCAGGTAAAAATAAAGATACACCTGGGCACAAGCCATGATTTAACCTCGGCCTAACCATACCGGCTAGCCCTACACAGGCCTATAGGCACAGGCCGGGTCAATTTTGATAGTGCATTAAGATAGATAGGGTCAAGCCAGCTCCACCAATGAATACCTTGAATTTACGTAAACACATTCTATTGAAAGTTAGTAGTTCGGATATGCCTTACATGCATCCATCTTGATTCGAGACAAACACTTCTCTCATGCCCAACTAGGCTAGGCCTACTGTACTGTATATTTCTGTACTTTCACTTACAAGAGGGTAAGTTGCCCAAAGCAACAGGGGAAGATCCAGTAGGGGTGGGGGACATCACTGGGAAGGTCTCCTGCCCCATTTTGCCACTTTTGTTTTTTTTTATTTCAATGCAATATATGAGCTATTCGCTTATTCGATTATTCTGAAACTGTTGTGCGCTCCCTCCCCCAGTTTGAAACATTCTGGATCCACCCTTGCACAGTAATTCCTCACAAGGACTACAGTGCGCTGCAAAGACACTCAAAACATTAACTACAAAGACGTCCTTCAGAAAAATAATGACATATGGTAACCATACCATCCACAACGATTGCCTCCTCAACTTCCCCATTCAACAATGTTCATGATCGCCACCTTTCCCGACTCATTCAACACCGTGCGGAGCATGGGTACTGTGTATGCTAGTTATTATTATTATACCTAGTTTAATTAAGATGATGAATGAGAACTTATAAGATAATTGATTTGAGGTAATTTATTGTCCAAGATTAAAAATTTTCTTGCAATATATCAAACTATTGTTATAAATATTGTTAAGCTTTTTTAATTAGTTGAATTGCACTTCCTCATTATTGATTATGATCTGTGTAATTTTTTTTTTGGCTATTCATCATTTTATCAATATTTCATTTTATTAATACTAATATACAGTATTGGCATCGCACAAAGTCTAAGTAAATTGCATATGCTACCATCAGACTCCATTCCTTATATTGTAGTGTTGTATTATTAATCATAAAAATTTAAGTGCGCAGAATTGAAAAAAAAATATCTACAAGAAAAAAACAAACCCAACATACCTTTAAATGTAACATTTGCTTGTGGTAAATCAACTTGATAACCTATAGATGTTACATTTTCTTGCATTTTAAAATTACTTTCAAATTCAACTCCAACTTGTACTTCTTTGCCTTTGTGGTAGTAAGCTACGTGACAGGAGGCAGGACCAACAGTTCCTGATGCTAACCAGTTGTCGGCTAATAAAAGAGATATAAAGCTCTTTAGTCCGTGTTCGGACGTAAACTCACATACATGTGTAATCTAATAATAGCCTTGGGGCTAATTCCGACGGACGTTCGGACGAGCAGAATAAGAACCGGTAAAACCAGTAACTTCTCATATGTCTTTCCTGCAACCAAGGTCGGACACAAGCTTTTTAGCAATATTTTTGTTGTTACTGTTCAAAACTATACATAATTTAGCATTTCTAACTTCATTTGGAGCTTCAAGTGATTTCTTCACCGTGATAACAAAACTTTATTACATTCAGCACATGTCCGCCGCTAGACAATGCCATGTTGTTGTTTATGTCCAACGGATCGTCGTCATCGTCATCATCATCATCAATTGTTGGATAGGATTAGATTAATTTGGTATTACAACAATAATAACCCAGAAGTATCCAACGACTTATTTTTACTGTTCACTGGGTCCTTCTGTACATCAGGAGATGACCTACTTTTTTATGAGTCAAATTGCACAGCTTCAACCAAAAGAAAGTGCACTTTTGAAACTTGCATTTCAGCCCTCCAGCTGCAACACCAGGAGGGTAGCTACAACTAACTGAGCTAAGCTGCTCCTATTTGTTATTGGTTCTGACGTGTTGTCAACTTCATATAATTATTTAATACATCTGCCAAGGAGGTTATGTATTCACTGTTGTTAGCAAGATTAAGCAAAAAAAAAAAACAACTAACAGTATTCAAGCAAAGGGCTGAGGTGCACTCTATAAAGTGACTGCTCCAGTTTATAATTTATTTCTTCTATATTCTCAATGACATCCTCTTTCTTTCAAATCAGGACAAAGTTCTATTTCTTTCACTTGCCTAGCATCACTAGTAGTCTTCTTCCTTGGGGGCGCTCTTCTATGTTATTTACTAACTTTTGTGAGATTGACTTTTTCATGGTATATTGTAAAATTAAAAATTGTTGCAAAGATAAAATTGACTGATTGAATGACTATACATAGCCTGTCCAGACTATCAAATTTTATTTGATTTAAAAAAAAAAATACTCTTGTATGCCCATATATAGTCATGATGTGATGTCCATGGCCATATTTAGGCATGACACGTTTTTGTTAAATCAAATTTGATAGTGTGGACAAGACTTTAATAACAAAAATCCAAGCCCCAGTGGTACAAAGTCTCCAGCAAGTCATGGTAGTCTCCTGAAAATTGAGATGGTTTAAAGCCCACCCAGCACCCTTCCCCTCCCTTTATTGATATCCTCAGTCCAACCCAACAAACAATATCTCCAAACAGAAAAACAAAACATACTGATTTACATCAAAATTTTTAAAAATAGCAAACACACTAAAATTTAAAAAATAATAATTTTGGCAAATTGGCCTAGTGTTTAACTTCATAACGATGATCCACATCATTTCTGGATATTAGAGGTCGATTGTTGGAAACCACTCCCAAGTATTTGTGTGTCAAGAATCTCCACATCTTCCCCTTCAATCTGTACTTTATCTGAGCTATTAATCTGTTACTTTTCCTGGAATCAATCCAGATTCCTAAGACTCGATAACATCTAGAAAGTTGTTTAATCACAATAATCTAACAATTTCAAACAGGTATAATGAGTTATTGTTAAAAAACTCATTTAAGGAGTTCTCCCTGAGCAGCCATATAGGAGATTCAACCCTCTCATTTCTTTTATCATACTCAGGTCTGGATTTGAGCCTATTTTAGGTAAGAACATACATGTATTCCAACACGCAAAACTCATTTTATTAAATTTTTCTTTTACCTTTTAAAAAAGTAATAACAGTACGCACTGAATGAAACCAATCAATCATCACTCCAATGAAAATGAGAACAATCAAATAGAAACAGTGAGAACATTTTAAAAAGATGATCCTTTTCCAGACCAATCAATTTGGTGACATATCACAAGTAATTATCGATCAATTTTGCTGTTGAAATGAGGTTTATCTCCAAATGCTAATGAAACTTTAATACAAAATCAATCAATGTTTTGTTGTTCAATCTTATAAAAGTCTATTGTTATTAACTATCTTCACATGTTGAAAAGAAGTTGTAAAATCGATGTATGCATGTACGATTTATTGAGACAATATAGCTGGTACAAAATGCTATATTATTGTTTCCCATTTACTGTAACATTAAGGTGAATGTAGGCCTACTAATTGGTAATTATTATGCATAGAATGCGTGAAATCATGGAAACGATAATGGACACCAGGTGTTGTTGGCAACGAAAACGATTTTTGTGACAACAATGGCAGCAGAATATGAAAAAATTATGATGATATTGAGAATTATGATACAAGGATGTTAATGATAATGATGTTGAGGATGATATAAAGATGTTGATGATGCTATAAGTTTTGATAATGTTGATGATGTCTATGTTTTATAATTAAAAGAGAAATGTTTTTTACAGTTGAAATAAATAAATAATTAAATAAATAAATAGGCCTAAATAACAAATGAAAGTCACACCTTACCTGTATACCTGCCTGCTAATGTTAATATAGTCTGTTGCTGGCCTTGCCCGTAGTGATAAAGTAACTCAGCTCCAAGTGCTAGTCTTTTTGTAATACTTTGAAGGTACTGTGTTACTACGATTCCTGTACTCTCAAGAGGGTCAACGTTCGCTAGCACCAGAGATGCGGTGTAGGACGGTCCTCGATATTCATTTTCTAACTGGTAAACCATCCATCGTGTTTGTTGTGTCTGTAAGAGAAATTTGAGAAAATTAAAATATAAATTTTTACAAGTATAGTTTGTTATTGATTATTGATTTGTTATTTAATTTGAATTGAATTATTTGAAAAACAAATTAAAAAACAATAAAATGAATAAAGAAGCACAGAGTAAATAATTTAATCCTCTTGGAAAACCCTAACAAACAACATTCTGTACCATATTCCTTATCAATGATTTAGAACAACCTAGAGAAATATAGTGTTTTTACCTTCCAAATATTAAACTCAGGAACCAACCCCCCAGAAGAATTCTTCTATTTTTATGAAACAATAGTTCATTTAATTAAATTTGGGTAATTAATCAACCAGATCCCTGCTCGACCGATTCAGATTTTGATGAAAGTTTAGCATTATAGGTTTTGTAGTTTCCGAGATATTGAATACAGTGTTCTTATTCTACACTTGTTTATTTTTTCAATTTGAGCAAATTAGAAATTAATCATATAAAACAGATCAGACCTCCTGATAGAGGGCAATGAAAACTAAAAATAGCCATGATTTCCCAATTAATAGATAAAGAAGAGGGGTATATTAATTAGGGTGGATTAATTTTATGAACTGTGTTCTTAAATTTGACCTCAATTTGGTTTGAAGTGGTCTAATTTAACTCATGATCTATTGCACTAGTATATATATATATACCATCAGCTAGAAAGTTTAGTAATTTCTCTATTTATATATATTAGAAGACAGTAACAATTAGAGGACATAACTCAACTTCGTTAAATTTAGGCCAAGATGAAAGAATAATCTAGCAATCACGAAAGTGCCACAGCTTCATCTGGAGTGTCAAGAAAAGTTCAAACTCAACAATTGACCAATCAGAACTGAAACAGGAATACGTGCGTGTCTAACAAGCACACGTGTTATCCCACATGTGTTCGTGTATGGTTTAACACTGTTGTTTTATGGGACCTTAGCAACAATTAACCAGGAGTGGGACTTAGCAGAAAGTTCCATTAACTGTTAATAAATTTAATCTAATACAGGCCTCCATGTAATTGAAGACCCTCCAATTAAATATACCACCTCCAATTAACATGTTGGCTGCCAGCGACAAGTATACTCACCCAAAGGTTGTTGCTGAGGGCGCCGGGGACGAGTACACTCATCAAAATTGCCAATCTTAAAGCCATTATACTTGCATAACAATACAAACAACAAGTTCTCTATTATTATACGCGGCCGATCAAAATGGTTTCATTACTTGGTTTCTCAATAGTGCGATTCCTTGCGCTATAATGTGATAACTCCACATAAACATTGAGGTTTCCCAAAGCAAGCCCTCAACAACTAATGCTAATACAGTGTGCTTTTTTGAGTTATAGATTATTCTATTGATTTTGTAACCAATAAAGTACCACAGTCGTGTTGTCACAACGCCATGTGGCGCTCTCTGTTGTCAACAGACGTAGGTTACCGTTCATTACGCCTGAATGACTGCATAGTATTTCTGGAATAGGACTTTTTAAAATCTAATATTTTACCATCAAAATGTACTAAAAACACAAAAGCTCGCATTTTATTAGTTATCGAACACACATTTAATCATCAATTAAAATTTACAAAGAAAGAATAGGATACAACATCTTAATATTTATTACGTTAGAAATTGGGATCAATGGTTTGTTAGTGGCGAAAATGGCGTCGGGTTGAACACATTTTGCAACTATAGCAACGGAGTAGTATCACATGGTATCGTGACGTAACACTGTAGTACTCTATAATATTAGTAGTTTTTTAGTGGTTTAAAAGCGAAAGGTTTTTAATGTGGAAGGCGCCATAAAAAACACAAAACCATTGACTGTATACAGTAGTCAATACATATTAAATGTGAAACCTCGAAGAGACATTGTGCTTTAATAATAAAGGTCTCGATGCCCTTCACATTATACTTTCGACAAGAAAAAACGAATACGAAATAAGTAAAAATAGGTACAGTAGCACATAGGCAAATAGTATTCAGGACGCTCCACCCACAAACATCAAACAGAATCGTTGTCTCGCTTGTGTATTACTCAAGCGAGACCTTACAATTTAGGGTTATGTCCTCAAGTTCTTCTCTACCGTGCACTGCAAAAAACAACGACACTGCCTCGCATAAGGAACAGACAGATCCGAAACCTAACGCCAGATAAATTGTAGTTGTTAATGGTTATTATTCTCCTGAGAAGAGTTTGATAGACAAACCAGTGAAAAACTTCTACATGGTTGAGCGCATACAGTAGGATGGATTAAACGTGTAATTTAATACCCAACTACTTAGTCAACAGATGGTCAACTATTATCTATAAAAGGGAAATCATCTCCATATAGTAGAATCTAGGGACAAAAGATCTCATGGTTTAGCACACATGATGAATTTGGACCAAAAGTTATTATTTTAACTAATTTCTTATATATCTAGCTTTTAAGTTCAAGGTCTTTGATTCAGAAAATGATAGATCATAAAAATCTTAAAGCATGGAAACTGAACCAATGATATTTTAAGTTTTTATTTTAATATTTTTTAGTAGTCTTGTTTCAGGAAGGTAAATCCTTGTTTACTTAAAATTGCTATACAGTTGCTATAGTGTTTTCACTGCAATTCTTGTACTGCGTGGCAGTCCCCGACACAATTGGGGGTTGGGGGGATTCCTGATTAGACCGACCAATCAGCATCACCGAAAGCTGTCGGTGGAAGCGTGTAGTGATTGTATGTAAACCAAGCTTTACCCAAACCTGTAATAACATTGCTTTCCACTGAGGTCCTCCAATAGTTCAAATGCACTGCAAATGGAACTAAACAGCTTGTTGTTGTTCTAATCTAAGCATCACTTTTTGTTGCTCAGTTGGTATGGTCAAGGAGGGGCAACCTCCATGTCTAAGCTTGAGAATACAGTAGTACAGCTATCCTAAGCAGAAAATATCCCAGAATAGATTGCGTTTTGTATTTGTTTACTTTATGCCTAAATTGAAAAAAGATTTTCATATCCAAAACTAGAAATTGGAGCACATTAGCATTGTATGCTGATACATGTTGAAGATGTATTGTCCCATGGTAAATAAAAATGGACGTTTGCTGGGTTTTCACCCGTAATATTACAAATAATTTTTAAAAACCAGACTAATGAGACTACTTTGCTGCTGTTGTTAGCATTGTTGTTGTCGCCATTGTTGTTATCGCCAGCCAGAGGATGATAGTGGTGGTACAACACAACAACGCTGTCTTAGATGCCTATGTTACGTAATCCTTGTAATCCGAGCCGACTTATTCTAGTAAAGTTAAGTCACATAAGGATAAGTGACTTAAGCCTTTATCTAGCTATAATTGACTGGTTCATCTAGATAAAAGTTCGACGTTCGACCAGGCTGTAATGTTAGGCTGCCACTGAAAGGTTAAGCCCTGTTCAGACTATCAAATTTCATTTGACAAAAACATGGCATGCCTAAATATGGTCATGATGACATCACATCATGACCATATATAGGCACATCATGACTATATGTGGGCATTCAACAGTTTTTTGTCAAAGAAAATTTGATAATCTGGACAGAGCGCTTTGCCAGAAAGACTGCCCTCATTCTTCCATCCATGACTCGATACAGCTACATGGTGTTGACTTGGCTTGCTTTTGAATTGTTCATTGGATTTCATCAATTCCTTTTTGGTCTAATCCCTTCAATTTATCAATATCATAAGCTGCTGTAATCCCGTTGGGGATTAAATCTCTTACCTGAAGAACAAATTTTGTTTTCAAATTGTCCATAAGCTTGTGAATAATTTGAGCATTTAAACTTCCTGAGGTATCAATGTCACCCAGTAAAACAGGAAAAGCCTTTAATATGAAAGAAAATATGTTAACTCAGACACAATCAATCAAAGGAACATTTGATACAATATTATAGATAAAAAAATTAATGTGAAAAAAGCAAATTAAGCTGGATTTCTTTGTATGCCATTAGGCGACAAGACACTATTTTTGCATCACTTAACAGAACTGTGAAAATGAATAAAACCAAAATAAGTATAAATATAAATAAAAAAGCAAAATTTTTAATAAACAATAGAGGGATTTGGCGATGGGTGTCACATGACCTAACTTGGGTGTTGGATATAAACAGTCAACTAGCACAGCAGTGTTTTTACATGGGGATTGCTATGGCGGTATCCCTTGTTATTCCTGTAAAGATCACCATAATTCCTAGTAAACTATACCAAATTGATTGGAAATTAAACTTAAGCATTTTGCCTTTAATAATGGTTTGCTAATGCTGTAAAAAATAAAATAATGGCCGCAAACATTGAGATTTTTCGACATATGTTAGGCCTAGGCCCCTGCACATCTACGGCATGGTTAGGTATGCATGATGGTCTTCGACCTGCAAACTACGGTGCAATGTTAGGGGCCAGCTATGGTTTATATAGGATCACTTAATTTCAAAGCATACAATCCAAGAAGAACACTAGGATAAGTAAATAAACACTATTTTGAAAAATCGTATTGCCTTTCCTAGCCATTTACTTCTCATGTTAACAGGTTGGGTGGTTGTTTTCGCAACAATATCTTTTCCTATGCTATCGCATAATTTTTTTCATGTAAACCCAAGTTAGGTCACGTGACTGCCTGTATACAATCATCGCCGAATCCCTCTACTGATAATGAATTGAGTGGGTGACATTGGTTGGCAAGTATAATGAGTAAAATTCAGTTGTTCCTAATATCCTGAAGTCGAGAGAGGAAATATAAACATATCATTGAGTATAGAAGAAACATATCCTGACACAATTACAAGATATACTGGTAATAGACCAGTGGAGCTTGCTCTAGCTATGACTGATAGATTGCCGTGGCATTTCCAAGTGTCATCTATCTCGACCGTAGTTGATGGATGATGATGATGATAAAAGGAAGGAAGAGATATGAAGAGAAAAATGGACATCAGAGAGCCTCTTTGGAGAGGTGATTTGCTCAGTCGGCTAAACTGATGGTAGCCACTGTGTGTGCATTGAACCACAGAGATCTCCAGGTTCCTGTTTCAATTCCCATCGCTGCTCTCCTTAAGTTTCAGCTGGAGGGCTGAAATACATGTTACGATAGTGCCCCCCTTTGGACATTTAAGCCGTTTTTCCTATGCGTATTATGCCCATGTGCACGTTAAATAATGCAGTATACCACTCTTCGGAAAAGAATAGCGGATTGTCTCCCAGTTTACTGCCCAATCACCACTAGCAGGAGCCCACTGGAAATAAGTCTTTTTCATAGTTTAGAGGGTTATCCTTGGTGTACATACCGAATACATCCATCCAGAGATATAGTTCAGATGGATTAATATACAGAATGGTTTTATAATAATCCTTGTAGAAACTATTCATATCAAAATGTGCATCTCACCTCTCCTGGGCCTGTTTGATTAGTTCCCACATACGTGCTACCAAAGTGATACGAAGATTCACCTACTGATGATAGGGAGATGGTGTGGTTAACTTGAAAGTGATTGGATAACCCTTTATTCACCATCAATTTACATCCTTCCAATGGTGCTGGAAATATCTCTGAAATGAAGCAGACAAGATTATCTTCAATGGAGAATATAGGTTTAACTCAGAAGTGTTTCTTTACTAAACAAAGTTATGATAAAATTCTATTTCAGTACTAAAATAGTAAAAAGGGGTTTCAGTCGAACAAAGTCCCACCCCCCCCCCATCATTGGTGACGGGCATGTTTATCCATGAGATGCATATAATATTTCATCATCCATGAGGCAAGTTTATTATCTGTTATTTGCACTTTCTTCCCGGGTTTCATTTAACAATTATCTCACAAATGCAAAACATCTGTACAAGATCAAAATCATAGATTATTGTTCCACACAATGACATAATTCAAATTGTAAATGAATACCAAGATCTTCTAGAAGAATGTTTTTTTATTTGTATACGTGATTCTGCAACGAAATTTGATCTACCTCCTATTGAAACAATGTTGGCAGACATGCCTTTTCTGTATGTTCAATAAATAAGTGGAAGTCCATTATTAATCTACACCTCATATAAACCACCAAAAAATTAGTAACCAACAATACTGTTAACTTCTCGCAGTTATGTAGCCCTTCCTCTAAACAGCATTCATAATTTGTAATTCAGAGAGTTCAAATCTTAATAATAAACAAACATTTTTAAAGAAGAAGAGGTGCTAGCTAATAATTCTTTCAAAAAAAGGTGGCATTTAAAATCTTAGTGCTGGTTGTAAAGTATGCTGAATTACAGCTTGTACTACTCACAATACTTTATTTGTATGTATTCTTTGATCAAATTAAATGTGTGAGACTTGGTATGTCTGTTACTACTGTGCTTTGTAATGACAATCTTGCTTATATTAAATCCCTCCTAGAATGACTCTGTATGGTTATTCAAAAATAGTGCAAATATATTGTTCATATTTCAGCTTAATATAATAAACTCAATATTCAAGGTTTACTTTTGATAAAATTATTGTTTATTGATTATTATACTATTTAGTCTCTGTAGTTATTAATTTATGAATGGTGTTTTTGAAATGAATTTTAAACACAATGAAACCAAATTTGAGGTTATTGTACCATTATTGACCTGTCCTAGTTTTTTTGGAATAAAGTGATATCTCATCCATGAGGCACACATTCAAGTTTACCACTAGGGAGCTTTTGATTGCACGACGGTAGGACGTAGAACGTAATGACATCACTAAGTCATCTGCACATGCAAGAACGTTAAGGTCACCTTGTCGAGTAGATTCTGGAACGTAATTTGGCCAAATCTATGTATATGCAGAGAACGTAGGACGCCAGATAGGACAGTCATGCATGAGTGATTACGTTCTAGCGTCGTGTCGCACAAATAGAAAGCTCCTTATTTACAAGGAAATCCATGAAAATGTTTATTAATTATCAAGGAGGTACACAGGGTTATCCATGACAATGTTAGCTCATCATCCATGAGGTATATATTACTATCATTATTTGCACAATTCTCAGGTTTCATTTAAAAATTATTTCACAATGCAAAACATCACGTACAAGATCAAGATTATTGATTATTGTTCCACACCATGATATAATTCAAATTTTAAATGAATACTAGGATCTTGTAGAAGAATGTTTTTTTATTTGTATACGTGATTCTGTAACGCAACTTGATATACCTCCTATAGAAACTATGTTCACAGACATGCCTTTTCTGTATGTTCAATAAATAAGTGGAAGTCTATTATGATCTACACCACACATAGACCCACAAAAAACTTAATAACCAACAATACTGTTAACTTTTCCCAGCTTTTCCTCCAAACAGCATTCATAATTTGTAATACAGAGAGTTCAAGTCTTAATAATAAACAAACATTTTTAAAGCGCCCTACTGTATAAAATAAATTCTCAGAGCACTAGCTAACTGTGCATAGCTTCACTGAAAAATTGTGGCACTTCAAATCTTAATGTGGACAGTTTTAGAGTACTGTATACTGAATTGAGAGACAGCCTTGCAGCTTGTACAGTTCTACACAGAAACTTAATATTTGTATGTATTCTTTGATGATAAGTAAACTTGGTAAAGCAACAACGTCATAATATTTGTGCATTCACAGTAGTGTGAACGAGAAGTTTTGAAAGAAAAAAAATGAAAGTATTGATGGTGCATGTTCAGTGAGAAAACTACTATATACAAAAGGCCTACACTTCACACTACACACACTATAAGAGTAGTTGCCAATGTGTTACACTTGCGGACGCTTTTGGAAGCTTAAAAGAGACCTCAAAAGTGCGAGTCCCCTGCCAAATATCACATGACAGTCCGAGTCTTGTTTACATAAAATTCCTCATATTAGAATGACGGTTATTGAAAAGTGCAAGTATATTGTATATACCTCAGCTAATATAACGAACTTAATGCTCAAGGTTTACGGTTGATAAAATTATTTTTTATTGATACTATCCTACTTAGTCTCTCTAGTTAATAATTTATGAGCGTTATTAATTCTAAACACAATGAAACCAAATTTGATATTCACCACGCTTGTGTTTATGATAATAAAATTATACCATACTTTGATAGAAATTTCTTTCATTAAAAGAATCTATTGTGCCTGTAGTGATATTGATTTACACCTGTTACTTGACTCTTCTATCAATGTATATTTCCTTGCAGTTACAAAGAGCTCCTAAGCAACTCCCCACCCCATGTTGCAGAAAATTCATATTCTTTTAATAACAGTGTCGTCATTACACAAAAGTAGATAATATATAATAAAAACCTACGTCTGAAATAAAATTACTGCTAATAAAACTACAATTTGCTAAAAACTTGAGGTTAAAAAATGTATAATGTGCTCCAACCACTAATGCCCAGAATACTAATCAAGGAATCATTTATAATAAAAAAAAAAGGACATGAGCGATGCCTCCAAGGCCATGAGTGATCCCTACAAGGCCATGAGCGATGCCTCCAAGAACATGAGTGATGCCTCCATGGACATGAACGATACCTCCAAGGACATGAGCAATGCCTCCAAGGACATGGGCGATGCCTCCAAGGACATGGGCGATGCCTCCAAGGACATGAGCGATGCCTCCAAGAACATGAGCGATGCCTCCAAGAACATGAGCGATCCCTACAAGGCCATGAGCGATCCCTACAAGGCCATGAGCGATGCCTCCAAGAACATGAGTGATGCCTCCAAGGACATGGGCGATGCCTCCAAGGACATGAGCGATGCCTCCACGGACATGAGCGATGCCTCTAACCACCAGTTGCATGGGCTTGCACTTTTCTAACAGCATTATTAAATCATATTGTATCATTATTCAGGAAGAAAAGTCATAAACTCATCATTACCAAATAAAAATCATTAATATTATACAGTAATTATATTATATACTAAAAGCCACTCCAAAAACTATAATACTATGCAATATTATCGTGTGTTTTGTGTTGGCATAATTAAATAACAACAGTCTATTGTTATAGTTATCTTTCTGTCAGCTTTCTTCTCTAGGTTTCCTAGGTTACTAAATATTGACAATATCTGTACTACAAAAAGAGAAAACACCAAGATCGATAGAGAAAACCTATTGATAACTTGTTGGTTTCATCCATTATAACCAAGATACTGACTGTGTCGTAACAGACCAAAAAGAACATTTCATTCAAAATCATTATCATCAGTAGGTGGGGAGTTTGGGAAACAGAAAATTTAAGTTGTTGGTTTCATCCATCATAACCAAGATAAAGACTGTGTCCGTCGTAACAGACCAAAAAGAACATTTCATTTAAAATCATCATCATCAGTAGGTGGTGAGTTTATGAGACATTAGTCTCACTTTGAAAGCACTGTAAAACAATATTTTTTTAACATTTACTTGGAATTTAGGATCATAACATTGAAATTGATAGGTGCCTTGAGGCTAACTTCTCTACAACCAAACAATATTTAAATATCTAAGTGTAACATAAGTAAACTGAAATTTAGAATTCAAAATGTTCAGCAAACTGGTATGGCCTGTAAGAATAGAGAATTAATAATTAACACCAATGAGGATAAAATTTCCTAAGGTGAATATTCTCTAAGGTCGAATTCTTATCCTTTGTTTGGGGTGCAATGTTTAATTGATAAATTTGCATGATAAAAAAAAAATCCTGCCTAATTTATCCATATCAAGGGGAGAATTTAGGGAGAGGAATGTGGGGTAAGGGGAATGTGGGGACAGGGAAATGTGGGTCCCTGTTTTTGCAATTTATTTTTTTCTTTTACAGAAACTACAAAATGGAATACAATACAAAATGTTCACAGCGGAATATATCCCAGGCACAAAAAATAAGGCCTAGAATTCCATCCACTAATTAAAAAAAAACCAAAAAAAACGCCAATTTCAGTGCAACTATGGCACAAAATTAGGCCTTAGGGAAAATGGTTTTCCAGATATCTTCAGCGCATATAACATACTTTACATATCACAAGCATTCCACGATAGTGCCGCTCACTATTCATGAGAAACTGCTGTATCTTTATTTCGAAAATCGTGGATCCCCCCCTGATATCCATAAATATTGGCATGCGCCCAGTAGCAGTACCTTTGTGAAGGCTCGTGACAAGAAACATCTCTTTTTTAATAATAATTAATAAAAAAAAAAGCCTAGGCCATACAGTAAAGTTTTTGAATTGCGCGGATAACTCATCGTCGAATCATAACTACTGCATAAATACAGTGGTTATATATTAAAATTAGGTCAAAGTCTAATTTTTAGCAAAAATCTGCCCCAATTTTCTGAAATGCATGGCAACAGATTTCTAGGACTAATTTTTGCACGAAGGATATCCCTGCGCAGTCCATACTTTAATTAAAGTCTGGAGATTTGGATATTTAAATGATAGAATGCATATTTCATTTAAGAAGGATTTTCATATGAATGCACTCCAGCACTAATCTTTAAGAAATTAAGCTGCTAAAGTTGACGTGGCCCGAGTTGACTTGGGGCCCAGTTGACCTGTTTCCGGCCTAGATCAACTCCTGTTTCTACAGTCTCAGAACACAACACAGTGCAGGTGGCCTAGGCTAGGGCCTAGCCTAAAAACGTTTTTAAACGTCAAATTATAAATACAGTAAAATAATACACCTTATATATATACTTATAAATCTGTTACTATTTATTGATGTACATTCGAGTAGGAAAGGAACAATATTATTATTAACAAATCAACGAATGAAAATGACGAATGGAGAGGAAAAGAACCGGTTGGATAGGCAGGCTACCTTTGCATTTACGAAACAACTCTTCAAAATTCCCTGGGTTTGGAAGATCGCCATTTCCTTTCAATTCTTCGAGTAAACTTGATGGTACAGATGCAGTTGGAGGTGGTGCAGGTGCTATTCCTGATAATGGTGAATTAGGTGGTGGAATAGGGCTTTCAGCTGCAAAAACGTTACCCATTTTATTACAAGTTTTCCAGGCTTACAGCAAGAACACCGCTATTCTTTCACTACTATACGGGCCATGTGGGATAATTTCCGATTGATTGGTTGTTCGTTGTCAGCTGATTGTTGTGAGCATGTTCAGTTTCAACTTCCGTCGTCTGAACCTTTTTCTTTCATTCATTGCATAATCTATCGCTCTCTAGTAAGCTGATGAGGGCTAGAAAAAATAACATTCAACATGACGGACCAGTCGTATGGAAACAAACCATTGTTTGTAGATTTGAATGCAGGAGAAGACCAAGAATCAAGCAAGATAGAAAGCATGTGTATAAATTGTGAAGAAAATGTATGTACAGTACAATAACGACAGACATGCGTTGTTTGTGTTTGACCTGCTGACTCCATCCAACCATGGAGGAAATTTCCTTCCTCCATGATCCAACCAAACAACCAAAGCAGGCGGGCAGGTTATCGTTGATGAGTCAGTGTGTGTGTAGAGGAGAAGGCTAGGCCTAGTAGGCTAGTGTGGAGCTGCTGTGATAAACATAATTTCACAAATATATTTAAACACTTAAACGTTTTGTAACTGAAATTTATTTTTATTGTGTTTTAAAATTCGTCAATGCCATTAATCTGGTTGTCCCCAGAATCCTTTTTGTTGCTTTTTTTTTTAAAGAGTATTTTTTACTTCGGTACAATTGATATGCAGGCAATGAAGATATGCAGTGCCAAAGCGAAAGAGATAAGCTGCGCCAAATTACCATGCACGCATCGCTGATCTCTACTATAATAGCTGGATTTCCCATCGGCCAATCATTGTACAGAAAAAAGTGAAACTACCGACGCCATGTTGGGGAGCCCAAGTGACGTACCAGTTTAGACAAGTGTCTTGGCATTTGTTTAAATTAATGCTAAGTAACGATTCTTGCAATACTTTTCAATAATAAATTTAAGTTTAACATAAGGATATTTTTCAAATCATCTGACAGTTGACATACCTGTTGTAGTTTATGTCGATTTCTAACAAAGCAACTTCGCTTGAGAGGATATGAAAAAAAAACATTTCGTAAAATTTAAATTTTTTTCATTAATATGTACTGCAAGAATCGTTAATTTTAACATTAATTTTTAACAAATGCCAACTAAAACTAGACTGGTATGTCACTTTAGTATTTGCAAATTGCACGGATGGCTTCACTTAGACCAGCCAATGGGCAATCCAGCTATTACTAGAGATCAATCTCTCTGTGACTTTACAGGCCTCTTTGAGTTCTGCTTTTTAACAAAGCATTCTTAGTGTTCCTACAAGGATACCAAAATGTCCTTCCTTGGGAAATTTCTGTCATATTTTATTATATAATTTTTGTTTCCTTGTTTGTTGGCTGATAGGTATTGTTCCTGCTTCTTGTGCTGAAGACCCTGGTTCAAATCCTGCCAGTGTCAGGTTTTAATTGGAGTCTGATAGTTTGGCTCCTCAAATAACCCTCATATTGAGAGTTAGGCAGGTTATAATAATAATAATAATAATAATAAAATCTTTATTTACACACGGAAGCTTGTATCACCCAAGGGTGTTTTTCAACAAGGCCGTGATGCCATTATAACAATATAAAAAACGATAAAAGGAAAAGAATACAGGTAAAATACACAATTTACAAAATACAATGGTTCAAAGAACATGCATGTTACGGACAATGTTTTGTATCCGTCTGTGTCCGTTATATGTTGTCAGGTGGCGCTGCAGACTGCTGCAGACCAGAGCCATAGATAGAAAGAGTTGCGACATTGAGAATTTAGAAGCCATTTTGTGTCATACGCGATGCGCGTTCTGTGTCTAACGTGATATGCGTTCCTGTGTATAATATTGTATAATACAGTTAGCGGCCTCCTGTATAGTTTAATTCCATTTAATATTTTTAGCAGTCGAATTTCATGTAACTCTGTTTATAGATTTTTTTTTATGATTTGACTACATTATATCCAATTTCTTATTATAAATACTGTAATAATTTACTATTTTTGAGCAGTTCTTTAATCCTCACCGATAGACCGAGCCCTTCGATGGCAAGCATTCTTCAATTAGGCAATCCTGCCATATAGACCCTTAAGTAGCTCCTGTTATTTTTGCAAATAAATAATATGCAAGACCTACTCCTCCTTCCCACTTTACCCCCATTTGCCCTACATTACCTAAGAATCTGGTTGTACTTGGCCAGTCTCTCAGAACGACATGGTGCTCCAGTTTTGATCTGTCCTGTGCAAAGACCGACCACCAAGTCCGCAATGGTTGTGTCTTCGGTCTCGCCACTACGATGGCTCACCATGACGCCCCATCCATTGCTTTGTGCCAACTGGCACCTGAGGAAAAAATTACGATATTATAAACTGACTATTTATATATAAGTAGATGATAATAACAATAATAATAATAATAATAAAATCTTTATTTACACACGGAAGCTTGTATCACCCAAGGGTGTTTTTCAACAAGGCCGTGATGCCATTATAACAATATAAAAAACGATAAAAGGAAAAGAATACAGGTAAAATACACAATTTACAAAATACAATGGTTCAAAGAACATGCATGTTACGGACAATGTTTTGTATCCGTCTGTGTCCGTTATATGTTGTCAGGTGGCGCTGCAGACTGCTGCAGACTGCTGCAGGTCCCCAGTCCAAGTGTCCGATTTCCAATTCAATGAAGACCAATAAAGACTTGTTGTTGTGTAATTTTTTCCTTATATACGGTAATATCATTTTAGGGAATTACTCAAATTTTGCTGACCAAGATACCTCACTATAAAGAAGTGGTGTTGATGTCATTTGAATGTGAGCATTGCGGATATAAGAACAATGAGATCCAACCAGGGGCCAGGATTCAAGACAAGGGATGCACATTGAAGCTGACAGTTCAAAATGAAAAGGTATTGTAACTAATAGTGGGTATGGTACGGGTTATGGTGGTACAGTAACAGCTGCAGGCAGTGCACTTTGCCCTCTGGTATTGCGTCCACATCCCGCAGTCAAGATTTTATAAAAGAACATTATTACTGATTTGAAACTGCCTGCAGTGCCTGGACTAAGCACACGATATGCAAGGACTTTTGTCCTTGCATATCCATTCTTGGTTCATAATTGTAACCCATAGCTTACAATTTCAGACAGGCCAAATTGGGTAAATTTGTATAGAATCATCAGCATGATCATTTTTTTATTTTTTTTTTATATTTTTTTTTTATAGAACCAGAATTTATATAGCACCTATCACAATCCGCAAATTATACAATTTATACTGAATTGGAAGACCCGCACATCGTGCAAATTTCCATGCCCCCTGGGGAGTATCCCTGGTCATTACTGCTTGTACTCACACGACCCATACATTCAATGCTATACCATCTTAGGAGGTACCCATTTATACTCCTGGGGGGGAGAGAGGCAAACATAAGTAAAGTGCCTTGCCCAAGGACGAGGGTCGATCTAGTACTCCCGATCTCACGATTAGAAGTCCAACACTTTACACGCTGCACTCTTTTATAAATATTAAGCCTACCAGTTTGCTCACGGGCACCACGTCCAAAAAGAGCACTGCCCGTGATTATGAAATTTGTATATAGCGCCCTCTATGTAAAAATCTAGGAATAGAGCGCCCTCCATGTTATTTGTTTTTAGATTGTAGTGATCGAACTGCTACTGATTACAATCGTCGGTCGGTATGGGTAAAAGCTTTGTTATTTAAAATAAATTTATATGATCTATATTCATATTTTACTGAATTCACATCATTTTTATGAATTTTAGGGTATAATACATTTTATCTTTAATAAAATTTGTATGATGCATGAGAGTACAACGTAGGTGTGAGATGTAAAATGTGAATGCTCATACGTAAGACTCTCGCATTATGCGTGAAAATTGACAGGTGTAGTATATAATCAATACAAGTAGCGAAAGGTCGTTCGGGGACAGCCGGACTTAACAGGGGTCCGGGCCATTAGGGTTCGCCTTTTCTCACGGCTACAAAGCACTTGTATTATACACTAACGGATCTTAAATCTGCTTAAAAATACAGGCTATTTAAAATTATTTTTATTTTGATTAAATAGTAGCGATAAATTTAAATGGCAAAACAATATATGCAAAATTTTCAGTAAGTAGCCATCCGTCTCCGCTCTGGCGCAATCCCAGACCCCTACCTAGGTGACCAGGTAAAGGAACTGGAAACACATTTGCCCTGCCACAGACGACTGGGTGCTCTGAGACAGTGACCGAGACAGCGGCTCCCAGAAGATAGTGCAGACCATTAGAAGAGAATAATACAGAGCCAATCATTGAAATAAGTTAAACAGATGTGTTTTAAGGGTACGTTTAAATTTATTTAAAGATGTGCGACACTTCCCAGTCTCATGACCACCAAGCTACTACTCGCTCGGCTCTATGATGATCTACTATTCATTCAAAATTAGGCGAAAAGGCCAAGAGTATTCCAAACAAACACCAGAATTAATCATTTTTCAAAGTGGAAATCTTTTTACGACACAACATTTCACACAAGATGCTCTACATCAGGTGAGCCTTCCTGATTGCGTCGGGGTAATTAGCAATTCATCCTGATTTGTTTGCAACACAATCGGCAAAGTTGAACCAGGTTTAACCTTACTGACAGCTGTCGGTGTTTGTCGCTGATAGGGTAAGCGATTGTATGTAATCTGAGCTTTACCTAACTTTACTGTACTGTAATTGTTTTATGGTACAGTAGAACCTCATTTTTACGTACCCCAGTTATACGAACCCTCAGTTTTACGTACACCTCGTATGGATCATGACGTCATCAAAAACCCCGAAAGTATTCAAAACAAACGGCCCTTTTGAGAGCAACCATAAGTAAAAAGAATATAACAATAAACAAACCATAATGCAATGTATTTTCATTAAACAAGCAACGTTGATTGAGTCTAATACCGGGTTGTTATAATCTAAAACCACGTGAACTGAGTGAGATGAACAACTACCGATGGTGCTCAAAATTATTGCTTTCCTCCTCCTCCTTAGCTTCGTGTGGCAAACCATGGAAGAACTCGTCTGGTCGAATTTTCTACACGAAGCTGAGTAGACATAGTTTCGTACTCAAACGCTAATTGGTTGGCTCGCCCAGTGCATAGTACATGGTTGTTGTTTCACGTACACGAATGCTAATTGGTTGGCTCGCCCAGTGCAGCGCACATGGGTTTAGTTTGTCTCAACAGGCCCAGACAACACCACATCTCTTTTGTTTAGAATAGGCATGAAGGGGAATTCCCAAGTTATACCTTTGTCGTATAGGTAATCTTACAATATTTTCATGTTCTTTATTTTAGTTAAATAAAAGATATAAAGTGATGAAATAAAAGATATACAGTGATGAATTAATACACTAGACACATGGTTTTATTTGAACACTTTATTATGACATCGTAAAGTGATGAATAAAAACACTAAACACATGGTTTTATTTGTAGGCCTAGAGGCTAGGTCTAGCCTAGGTATCATCGTTCATTCGTACGTACGTTTATTGAGCGTTACGTACGTATTAGGTCAAAGGTTACCACAAATTTAACCCAACCTCTATTTTACGAATCCCCCGATTTACATACGCCCTCTGGTCCCGTACCGTACGTAAAATCGAGGTTCTACTGTAATAATTATTATATGCATGAATTAATGAATAACTATGATAAAAACCCAGAACCATCTGAGAAATAATTAGTATTACCAAGAAATATAAGCTCTGTGACAAAAATAGTCAACAATATGAATGTATTAATAAGCCGACTTTCTCATTAAACATACTTATTATATTTCTCCTGGTAGCATTGCCACGAATGTAGTACAGTACCACAAAATTTAAAAAATAATATATTTATATAATGTATTTATATAATGTATTTATATAATGTATTTATTTATATATAGACTGTAATTATAGCATACTGCAAGAGGTTTTAGAGTATGTCTCTATTATCATGATTTATACAGCTGAAGTTGACTAATGTTTAACACGTTGGTTGCCAGCGACGAGTATACTCGTCCCACAGGGTGTTGCTGAGGGGGGGGGGGCTATGGACGACTATACTTGTCAAAATCGGGGTAACATTGTAGCGTTTATTACTTCTTTGTTATACATAGTAGAACCACAGACCTAACGGCTGGTAGTTTGGGGAAGATACACCTAGACGATAACAGATGTATGTTTGCTGTGTTATCTTGCTGGCAGTACACCCAATTGCACAAGTGGGGGTGGGGTGGGGGAGCGCCTTCTGAACATATACCAACCCATGCAAAAAGACAGACCAGAAAACTTGCACTAGGCAGAAACTATAAAAATGCTGTCCTAGTGCCGGTGACCCGTTTCCTCATCCCCTAATATTTTCCCGCCAATTTATTAGACACACCATTTTGGTGATATATGACAAGATAACATTTCAAAAAAGTATGTTTGTACATGTATACTTGTTCTATCACACGTGAAGGAACCTGAAAAAAAGGTCTGGCAGTCAACGTGTTAATATTATTTGTAAAGTAAATGCTGAATTGTAGGTGCAATGAAAAATTAGCTATGTATTTATAAGTCAGCCGTGACATCACACCATTTTCGTTTGCATGTAAATTGTGATTTTTCTTACCTTGATCAATCATTCCTGATGATGACATAATGTCGAAATATTGAATCCCGACACGATAGCATGTATTTTGATACTTGGAGAGTATGTATTATACTAATTCGCAAAATAGAGTGACTTTGGGTGATTTCAACTTTGACCATGATATTTTTTTGGGGGAATAGGAGTGGCGCGAGTAATTTTTGGAGGGGTGTGCACCCCCATTTATCCCTAGATACACCAATGGTGAAAAAAGCACAATGAAAGCTGGAGTTTTTCATCATGATGAATATTTCGTTGCTAGTGAAGCCCTGAACGTACCCAATTAACCTAACAAATTTCGCTCAACGGTGCTGGTTAACATGGGAAGCCTAAACCACCAACATAAGCAAGGTCTAGAAAGGCATGGTTATGAGATAACAATGCAATTGACTTAAATGGAAACAAGAAAGCGATGCTGAAATAATGCATAATGATGTTTAAAATACATTTAAATCTATTAAAGAAATGTCTACCAGGTTAGGCCTACCAACACTTCATGAACAACAATCAATCAATTTATTTATCTTCATCGTATCATGAAGAGCTCCGAAGAATGTCAGTTTGTGTACTGTTACTAGTAAATTTTTTTTGTTTTTGTTTTTTAACACCTCTGCGCCAGGTAGACGTTTTGAATTTACATGCTTTTCTTACGATTTCGAACTTCGACTTGGTGTTTTTGACTATTGTAACTGTATTAATAATTATTGGTTGACATGTTTGTGAAAGTTTTGGTGTACTGTGTGTTAATTTTGTAAAAATCTGTGCAGTAATTAACAAGAACTACCAGTCGCCCGGACTGGAATTGAGCTGCAGAGTAACAATGGCCGAAGATGGCAGTCTAGGTCAATGCTCCAACCCAGCATAGGCTCAGGTCTAGGTGTTGTACGATGGTGGTACGCAAACTAACCTGTGAGGAAATTTTAGGAATAAGGCCTGGAATATAAAGATATAATTAAGACAGATCGACAGACCAACCGACTGATGGAATGACAGACCGACCGACATTATTAATAAAGTGCCTGCTAAATTGAAACCAACAAGTATAATGCCGGCCACTCAATGCGTCCTACGACGGTCGTACGACGAATCTAACTTCGCTTCCTGTGAGCGATAGACGACGTCACACCATTCCGCCTGCTGATTGTCGGTGGCAGCTTGAACGGATCGTCCTCCATATAATCGCGTCGGCCGACGACGGTCGGTCACAATGAGTGCCCGGTTTAAACTGAAATTGCAAAAACAGATGTTTGAATTAAGGGGTAACCTAGCAACCGACTGCGACAAACATACGCCATTGCCGATTTTATGAACAATGCGAGACAATTAATAAGTTTTATTAATTAGTGGTTACCGAGATGAGCACCCAATTGGCATAGGGCGGCATTTTTTAAAGTGCCCTTACCGGTACGCGTCATTAGGAAATGTGCAGGCAACCTGATTTTAGTTCCTCCCATGTTTTTCAGCCAATGGTATTGTAATATTTTAATATTCTACATTAGTTGGCGATAGTAGTTACATTAAGCTTCAAGCATGTTGCTAGTACCATAGAGAATATAGACACTTAAATTTAGTCTGTTTTAGTGAAACCTAGTTTAGTGATCATGACTCCGCTGATACAGTGAATATTACTTTATTACGATTGGACAGGGACAGAAAGTCGCGGATGTTGCTAGGAAGTTGGAGAAGGAGTAAACTGATGCACCCAATGTTATACTAGGAGATTTTAATGCATGTAAACTGAATTCTGTCTTGCCTGGATACAGACAGTATCAGTTAATGCCCACGCACAGTTAATATATTGATCACTGAGTAGCTTGATTTAATAGCCTAAATAAATATATTTTCTGTAGGGTCCTCAGAACTTGACTGTAATTGCAAAATGGTGGTTGTGCGTGAGAAGTGTAAGCAAAACATAATATTGTATATAGATCAAATAATCTGTTTGACCTTTTCACCTTTTAATATACATACAGTATGTCACGCAAATATCTGATAAAAGATCATAGTTAAAAAGCTGTTTAATAAATTAAAATGAAAATGTGGATGGCAAACAAATATTTGATAAATATATTTTTGAAAAATAAGTTGAGTTGAACATCATTTTCTTGATTGCTGATTCTTGCAAAGATCCTTGATTTGTGTTTTTTTTCCGAGGGTAAAATCTTCTGGCAAAAATAACATAATGCATGTACAAATAGGACATTTAACCTTGGCAATTCAAAATGTAATCTTAATCTACAGTAGACTAACATTAATGTATACCAATTATAATTATGGTAGAAGTGTTTGATGGAAAATCTATAATTAAGATAATTGCTAGCGGATGTTTCTTTGCCAAACTGTAAACCAGAATTGATGGAGCAGCTATTAGCTGCTCAGTGGAAAAGCTCAGTGGACTAAATTGTTAGTAGCCAGTGGCAAATTGAAGGGGGCCCCAACTGGCTCGGGGCCCCTAAATATTTTCAAAATTATAAAAATAAAAGGAGAAAAAAAGAAAATTGTATTCAAATTTAAGTGTGAGAGTACAATTTTCAGCCAACTAGTGGTGCCATAATCATAAAACTTCTTACGTCAGCGCCAACTGAGGCTGTATTTACTGTACCCATATCTGTTAAAGTTCTTTCACCTCGAATTTTATTTCCTAGATCAACACTGGTAGCCACAGTGTGTGCACTTCACTGTTCGAGTCCCCGGTTCAATGGACCTTTCCGAAGTGTCAATCAAGAATGACATCTGACCAATCAGAGCAGTGCTATGAATACGCGCATGCCCCACAAAAACGTGTTGTTCCATAAACGCATGTGTTTATTATGCATGTATGCTAATTGTTTTAAGGAATCTTCATCCAATCAGTACATCCAACAGGAGGGGTTTAGCGAAAAGATCAATTCCATCTTCTTCTTTCAGTTCAAATGCTGAAATGCATGATTTGGATGAAAATAAAACTGCAAGAGATTTCCAATTCAGCTGACAATAAAATGGTCTCCATGAAGCCATCAGCAATCATACAACTAGTCTATTCACCAGCAACACATTTTACTAATTTTCAAATTTTTTTTTATCAAAATCAATTTTCACCATGTTCTTTCATAACAATAATTTTATTCATATTGATCTGTCTACATCCTGTCACCAAATGTTATCAGACACTTATGACTTTATGATGTTTTCAGCAAATGTTTGTGTTCTGTATATGACGCAAATAATACGTCATTGTTTCGGCAAAATGTTGATGCCACTACTGCTTTGGACATTTAATCACCATATTTTTTTTTAATGCTGTACAATATGTGTAAGATGATAACCCAAAAATAATAAAACTGATTTATGTGTTCAAAAAGGCAAGTCGACCTATACAGTAGTTAAAAAGGTAGCTTTAAACATGCGAGCAGTACATTTTAATGTCAGGCTTCCCCCCTAAAGGGTTTTTCTGTGTTAGTGCTGACAGTAATTCTCCTTTTAATTTTTTATAATTTTTTTTTTCTACCCAGATTGTATGGCTTGTTTTTTCCATGTAAACGCAAGATGACAACAACGTAATTAATTACAATCAGTTATATATTGTCTCTTTTTTGAGTGAATGAAAAACATTTTTATATGTCAGCACACATATTTACTAACCCTGGGTTAGAAAAGCTTTTATTTTCTTTGTATTGACTAATTAATGACAGTATCAATATATATAATCATTATTTATAGTACTGTTTTTCCAATTCCTGTCTCCATTTAAATTGCAAAGCTGTAGCAATTTTAATAACATCAATGTCCTTAGACTACTTAGAAATGGGAAAAGTTTTCATAAATATTTGATATAAATGTATATATAAACAATATGTAGCTTTAGATTGCACGGCGCGGTAAAGAGGTAGAGTGTAATGACGTTACTGAGAAGTAATCTGCGCATGCGAGAATTTTAAGTTCTCCTCGTCACATGAATTCAAGGATGCAATTCTGCCAAATTTACGTTTTCCAGAGAACATACTGCAGGATCTTACGCATGAATGAATCGGTTCTAGCATCGTGTCGTCGCACAAATCGAATGCTCCCTAATGATGCCTCATCTAGACTTTTGAAGAATTGTTTATTCCATTAGAACTCTTACAATACCGAAGGTATGATCCAACCGGCTCTGATCTTTAATTCTACTGGGATTCTAGGTGACCCCTCCATATCCCAGTTTGCACATCCTCCAAATGGCGATATCCTAGGTACAGCCTTGGTCAAGATTATTTTATTTGGACTATTTTAATTGCGTGCATTTTTTTTTTTTTTTTTTTTACTTGCTCTTACATTTGGTTGTCGATCAACTCAATGAATGATGCTGCCTGGCAAGTTTAGGTTTGAATATATGTGGAGTTTTTGTATTTTCAAAAGTTCAAATGGGTTTCATTTTGTTCCTTAATGCATCAGCCTTTGGCTACACTCAAATCACATGTTATAGTAATTACTGTATAATTATTATCATTGTTAGATTGTTCTATCTTCTTCTGTTATGCATTTCCATCTTGGCAAATTGGCACAAAGTTAGTCATACTTATTACATAAAGAATAATACATTCACTGCCACAACATCCTAAGACCAGATAGCCTTTTATATTCTAGTTAGAGACAGACAAACATAGGTTGCATTGGATAAAGGAATTAGCTCAGGCTAGCCGAAGCTATGCAGGCCAGGCTAGGCTAGGATTGGATTTATTTGGTGTAAACACAGGATAGCCCACGAAAGTCAAGAAGACGACTTATTTCCAGTGGGGTCCTTCTGGTGGTGATTGGACAGTACACCGGGAGACAATCCCCTACTCTTTTCCGAAGATTGTACTGCGTTCTTTAACGTGCCCATGTGCCAAAAATGCACATGGGACCAACGGCTTAAATGTCTCATCCGAAAGACGGTGCGCTATTGTAACTTGTATTTCAGCCCTCTAGCTGAAACACAATAAGAGGCAGCAATGGGAATTGAACCGGGGACCTAGAGATCTCCAGGGTTCAACGCACACGCAGTGGCTACCATCAGATTAGCCGACTGATCTAAGCTGCTCTGACACAAGCAAAATAAACAGGAGGATATTTGAACTCAACCTTAAGGTGGAGACCCCAAATCACTGTACCAAATACTGTTCAAACTAATAATTACTGTATTATTATAAGTGTTATTGTAGCTTGTTATCTATCTTGTTTTGTTATGTATGCATTTCCATCTTTTGTGGGCTTTCGCTTACGTTCTCAAACCAGTACATTAATAATATTATTTTTAATTGATTTTTAAATGGTTAAAATAAAATCTATTTGTTGAAGGTATATATTTACAAAGAATCTGTGTGTTTACCAGTTTTATTTTTTTTTAATTTGTGTTCTTGTTTATTTTATTGTAATATGCATTTAAACACATTTAATGCCTTATTTATGAAGGTTGTTAATTTTGTTATTTAAGATTAGTTATTATTTAATATTTAAGATTAGTCCAGGGGCCTTATTACAGCCTTTGACATCTTTGGTTCCCAGGACTTGTTGTAAATAAATGAATGAATATATTTTTATGGAATTTGTGCAATATTAATTGATAAATTATTATTATTCAAATAAAGATTATTATACAGTGTGAATCTTGATTATGAAAAACTTTATTCAGGATATTTAGTAGATAAAGCTGCCTTTATCCCCTATAAAATAACATAAGTGCTAGCACTTTATATTATTTATTACACAAGGTTTGCCAGTCTATGCGTTCTTCATCTGGCGCATACAGCAGTTGTTTGTATATATATCCTGACAAGTTAAAATTAATAGGTATAACTACTACATCATTAGGTCTCAAGTTGTTTAGTGTGGATTTCCCGTTGGCATTATGATCAATTTGGACTCACTCTCTGTTGTCTTTTTATTCTCACTTTGATAGGACCTGAACAGACAGGTTGTCAAATCTGATGCAGCCATGGTGTTGATTCCTGCATTACAATTTGAAATTCCATCAAACACTCAGAAAGGAGGTATATTGTCGAAGTGTTTTTCTTATTCTTATTCTTTATTTCCAATCAAATACACAGCTGGAATGGAGGGCCTGATTTTTAAAGTCAGGCTCTGGGGGAAAAAATTGTTTCATATGTTGTACAGTAGAACTGATATTTCTGAGACAGATTTTTGAATATTTAAAAACTGGGGCAAAAAAGTGTAAAAATGGGCGGTTACGCCCCTTTTTCCCCCAGTTTTTAAACATTCAAAAATCTGTATCTCGTTCACCATCCCCAGTTTTTCGTCAATCAACTTTTTTCTGTCTTAGAAAAATCAGTTCTACAACATATCAAAATTTTTTTTTCCTCCGGAATCTGACTTTAAACTTCATTACTATATTTCAGAGAATCACTCCATCCAGTAATTACAAAACATACACATACCAACATAAAACAAAACAAGATGGGTTAGTTTCATCATCATCTGAAAATAGTTTTTACATTATTTCATGCATATTACTAATTTTTTTCATGTGGGAGTGGCCATAAAACTTCATCTGAAATTGTTTGCGATCCTTTTTTCAATGTTTGTTTAATTTTGATATAAGATAGTATGAAAACTCCGAAAAATGTGATAAAAATAATTTTAAATAAAGTAAGGTTATTTCTGAAGATGAACTAATAAGGTTTGAAATGTTGAATAGCAATGGCTTGTAACAGGTATCACATTTTTCATATGCATCGCATTTTAAAAGTATCAGTGAACCCCATGTTTAAATTTGTTTTGTCAAAATGCATTTTTATTATAGGCCTCTAGTGTATTCTATATGACTTACTGTATTTCCAAAATAATGTTATTGATTTATTGACTTATTACAGAAACTGCAGTCATTTGTTATCTAACTACACACGTAGATGCGCATACGTGTTATGATAAAGTAATTTGCAATATATGATTACTCATGGTATCAGTTTAATTTTTATGATTATTTTATGATTATATTATGAAACATGTAAGATACTGTAATATATAACTATGAATTTCAGATATGGTGCAATAACATGGCTTAAAGGCAAATGCCAATTATTATGCAAAGTGGTTGCCTCATAAGTTCTCTTGGCTTCTCGTCTGTATCAACAAGGTGTTTGTGAATGCTTTTGCTTAATCCATGAATTCTAAGCTCTCCATGATAGCTAATCAAAGCCTACTTTCAACAGGAATGAAAAAATATATTATTTTAATATTCCTATAGAAAACTAGAGCAGTGAGTCTATAGAATGCATACCTCCACCCTTTGCCTGAATAACAACAATAAGCAGGCTGTGTATGATGGGCAAAACTGCAGCATACCCTCAAGAAAAGACCTTTTCTTCCGAAAATTGAATGGTGTAGTTTTTCAATTTTTATGATGATCCATTCATTAGGTTTTGCGTAATCTTGTTAACAGACAGAAAGTCAGACAGAGAGCAGTTAATACATAACCTCCTTGCTGGAGGTAATAATAAAGAAAATGTGAATTTGCCATACTTTCTATATTACACATGCAAAGAAATGTTTAGTGTAAACCCATATTGATGACTCCTTGAAATCTACACTAGTGTATGCTCAAAAATTAATCCCGATAACAATTAAAGATGTCGCTTGAATCAAGATGTATAACCCAAAAGGGAAGGATTTGAGTTTGTTTGTCCATGGGGGAGGGGGTTGCGAAAGGGCTGCCAAGGGGCGCTTAAAGCCCCATTCCAGGCAAAATTTTAATTTTTAAAAAAAATCTAATTTTTGTATAATGTTATAAAGATTTATAAATATAATACGGAATTGCTAGTTTAACTGAATTTAGACATTCCTATTAAGAATGAAAAAAATGTAAAATAAGACTGAAATTTGATTTTTTGTGTTCCACACAAAAAATAAATGCGGATGAATTTTCATGTTTGATTTTGCGACAGGTCGTGAGAAGAAATATCGTAGGCGCCGAAGACATTAGCCTATCCAACGCTGCTAGGCTAGGCCTAGCCTTACCTCTATTTAGGTTCTGTTATCACACATAAAAACGGCCGACATGATATTTTCTGTTGCTAGTAATATATAACTATGAATTTCAGATATGGTGCAATAACATGGCTTAAAGGCAAATGCCAATTATTATGCAAAGTGGTTGCCTCATAAGTTCTCTTGGCTTCTCGTCTGTATCAACAAGGTGTTTGTGAATGCTTTTGCTTAATCCATGAATTCTAAGCTCTCCATGATAGCTAATCAAAGCCTACTTTCAACAGGAATGAAAAAATATATTATTTTAATATTCCTATAGAAAACTAGAGCAGTGAGTCTATAGAATGCATACCTCCACCCTGTGCCTGAATAACAACAATAAGCAGGCTGTGTATGATGGGCAAAACTGCAGCATACCCTCAAGAAAAGACCTTTTCTTCCGAAAATTGAATGGTGTAGTTTTTCAATTTTTATGATGATCCATTCATTAGGTTTTGCGTAATCTTGCTAACAGACAGAAAGACAGACAGAGAGCAGTTAATACATAACCTCCTTGCTTGAGGTAATAATAAAGAAAATGTGAATTTGCCATACTTTCTATATTACACATGCAAAGAAATGTTTAGTGTAAACGCATATTGATGACTCCTTGAAATCTACACTAGTGTATGCTCAAAAATTAATCCTGATAACAATTACAGATGTCGCTTGAATCAAGATGTATAACGCAAAAGGGAAGGATTTGAGTTTGTTTGTCCATGGGGGAGGGGGTTGCGAAAGGACTGCCAAGGGGCGCTTAAGAGTTAAGAGTTTGGGAGTTAAGGCACTTGTCAGGTTGATCATTTGCTGTTTAAATGGCATCTGGTTGATTTAAAATGTCAGAGTTGCTGCAAATTATCGTAAAATGTTTAAGCCCGTTCTAGATACATTTGAAATAGATTACTGGTAATTTATTAGCAGATGTACTCCTGATTAGATTAAAATGCGTGACAAGCATCAAGCAAGCAGTACAACCATGTTTGGATTTAAACTTCCTTCTACATTTGAAGAAATAAAAACAATAGTAGGTTTGACCTTAAAACTTTGAGGACTAAACGGTGCTCCATATTCATACGGAATTAAGAATATTTCCACCTCAATATCTGCATTCAAGAGTTAATATTATTCATAAATTCAATGATTAAAATTCATATTGACAAAGTTTATGGTTTTCTAATCCCACGTAATACTTTTTAAAAATTAGCAATTCATTTGCTTGTTATGAAGATGCAGTAAATCTACTATTAATGAAAGATAATGCTGGCAAAATTTGCCCTCAGGAGCAGTGTGGCTCCAGAAATTGGCCATCGTTGGGTCCGGGAAATCTGACAAGGGAGTTAAAACCAAGGGGCTGCCTAGACATTCAGTCAGGTTCCTGCGTTTTTCTGTGCATACATCTGTAAAAGTGTTTTTTACTTGTAGTTCTGACAACAATTGAAGGACTTATCAGCAGAGCAGTAGAAGGGCTTGAACAAGATCAACCGCTTAGAAAGGTATCTATTATAATATTATACAAACTTAAGCTTTCTTAAAGTAATTGTCAGCAGTATGTATTATTGAGCGATTTTTATGTATGTATTCATACAATAAAGAGCTCAGAACTACTGCAATGGGTGAAATTTAATACTTTATTTGAAGTTGAATAAATTAAAATGAAATGAGATCGTTTTACTAGGTTTGTATTTTGACGATTAATTACTTTATTTTATATTTGTCTTTGTAGGCCTTAGATCCTGAGACAGCTACCAAAATTCAAGACTTCATTGACAAAATGAAAAACCTAAAACCACCTTTTGAACTGGTATGCATAATCTTTAAACAGTAATTCACTTCTTTCACACCAATCTATGCGCTAATTTTACCAAGTTATATGCATACACTTAACCAGGGTATGTGCACCCTGTCACATTTACTAGTTTAATCTTGGTTAAGCAAGACTTTTTATTCCTTGTTTCGTGTACTTATTTTTTTTTAAGGTCATCGAAGGAGGGCGGAATAAAAATAAAAATAACATTTTGTTTTCTTATTTAGCAAATAGTTTTGTGAATGTGAAATAGGGTGGTTAAATGCTTTAAATTGATACAATTAGGAAGAAATATGCATATCTTATCTTTGGAGATTTCAAGACAGCGGAGGGCCTGTAATGAAAATAAAGAAAAATTTTTATTTTTTTCTGAAATTTCCACTTTTTTGTGGCGGTGGGTGTGCTATTTTGCCAAAAATTAAATTCTATTTTTATTCGAAATCATTAAATATTTGCAGTCGGCGGGTTTGTTAAACAAGGTATAAAACCTTGTCTCGACTTAAGCATTAGTTTAACAATAGTTTAACCAGGTTGTATGAACTTTCACACAGTTTTATATTCTTTCTACTATTTTTACCTGTGTAACCTGATCTCACATTATGCAATACATTATATTTATTAGGTTATAAATACTAGTTTAATTTGGTTATATGCACTAAGTTTACTTAGTTACTTATACTATTTTTATGAATCCATGCTTTAATCTTGTTAAATGTAATACTAAATACTAATTTATCCAACTTATTACTTTTTAAACTGAGTGTATTCACTACATTTACCTGGTTATATACAGTACATGACTTTAACCTGGTTACTTACACAGTTGTATACACTACTTGACGTTATGCATTATCTTACCCGATGTGCTGGATTTATTTGGTCATATGCACTCACCCAGTGTGCAATACTGTATGGTTACTTAGTTATATTCACTACTGGTACTTAAGTACTGTAACTTAAGTACATTTACCATGTTATATCCAGTACTATATTTACCATGTTAACTTACATGATTTGAATGTGCAAAAAATATAATCTGGTAATTGATAAATGATTATTGTGCCTCTTGCCTTTATTGAATATCGGTGTAGACGTTGGATGACCCTACAGGTAACAGTTACATCGAGAACCCTGATGCTCCTGCTAAGGACAAGTACTTAACGACTATAAACTACACAAGAACAAAAGAACAAGATATAAAGCTGGGATTGGTTGTGAGTGTTTCTATATGTCATCATTCTTGTCATTGTTGTTGTCATGAATATCATCATCATCATCACATCTGTCAGATTTTTCTTCATCATCAACATAATCATCATCGTCTTCATCAACATTGTTATCATTATCATCATCATCGTAGTCATCATCATCAACAATCTGATGATTACCATCTTAATCATTTTCATTATCATCATTGTCATTGTGATCTTCACCATAATCTTCATCATCATCATCATAACCATTATTGTCATCATCATCATCGTCATCATTTCCCATTTAAACATACCACTGACTGATACCATTTTGTATATACTGTAGTCATACAAGAGAATATTTTAATTTTCCACCTAAAATTTGTGTTTGTTAGTTTTTATATACTATTTTCGTTTGCTGTTCCTGTTCTTCAGCAGAATACTATTAATTTAAGGGTCTCAAATAAACCTAGTTCTTCACATCACATTAGTTTTAAAGCCCCATTCCCGACAAAATTTCAGTTTTTAAGAAAAATCTAATTTTTGTATAATGTTATAAAGAGTTATAAATATAATACGGAATTGCTAGTTTAACTGAATTTAGACATTCCTAAGAATGAAAAAAATGTAGAATAAGACAGAAATTTGATTTTTTGTGTTCCACACAAAAAATAAATGCGGATGAATTTTTCATTTTGATTTTGCGATAGGTCATGAGAAGAAATATCATAGGCGCCGAAAACATTAGCCTATCCAGCGCTGCTAGGGTAGGCCTAGCCTTACCTCGATTTAGGTTCTGTCATCACACATAAAAACGCCCGACATGATATTTTCCGTTGCTAGTATTGACACTTGTGAAATATAATATTTCATAGGAATTATTTCAAATTTGTTAAAAAACTAAAAAAAACTGATTCTGACTGAGATTTTGACACTTAAACAAACATATCTCAGCCTAACCGAACGACCGCATTGTGCGAGATGCGAAGTACAAAAACTAATCTCATTAAA